ACGGCCGAGCCCGGAACGGGCCCCTGGGTGCGGGTGTGGACCGACGTAGGGACCAGCACTGTCTTTCGGACGGTCCCTGGCCCCACCTTGGGGCGGGCACAGCGCTAGTGCTTCCCACTGGGGGAAAGCTGGGGTGCCGGCCGGGTCCCCGCGAACAGGGGTCGGGAGGTCTGGGGCTGGCAAGGAGGGAGGCTGCTTTGGGCCTGGATGTAAGTGACAAGGAGCTGGTGCCAGCTCCTTCTTTCCTGCCACTGGGGCATCCGTGGGGGCTGGATTATCCCTCTTTCTCTTCCAGGGTAGCCCTGATTTAGGAGGGTCTCAGCGGGCCCCCACTCGCCCCCCCACCCCATCCTCGCAGGCTCCACTGCCCAGATCCCCACCATCCCACTTTCCTCTTCTGCTTCTTCCCACAGCTGTCCTGAAGCCCCACGAGTCTTTGGCTCAGCCTCTTCCCACCACCGACAGCTTGGAGTCAGAAGGTGGGTACCCAGGGTGTGGGAGGGTGGCCCCCCAGCAAGGATGAGAGCCAGGTCAGTGGGGAGGGTCCCTTTCCCACCAGGCTGGCCCAACCCCAGATGGTGCCCTACTCAACTCCCCTCTCTTCTGTCTGCGGTTCCTAGATCTTTCTCCCTGCCATCCCACAAAGCCCCTGTCCAGCTGTGAGCCTGCCCACCTCACAGGTGGGTGACAAGACCCAAGGAAAAGGTGTATATGGAAGTTCTTGTGAGGCTGGGATGAGAAGTGCTGGGCACATGGAAGTCATTAAAAGATTCCTAAGCCGGGACTCTTCTCAGCCAGAAGTGTCTTGAAACTTTCTGAGGGGCTCCCATGTTTGATGACAGGGGTTCCACCTTGGAAGTACCTGGCCAGAGGATTTGGAGGGAGGAGGAGGGGTGTGGTTATTATGCAGCATCTGTACCTACAGGAAGGGAGAGGACGGTGGAGGAGATCTATGCGACAACTGTCCAACTTTGCTGGAAGTATTATAAAGTTCATATGGACTCTATTGAAAAGGATTGGTGTGACTGGGCCACAATTAGCAGGTAGGGGCAGTGCTGGAGGGCCCTGAGGCCAGGGGTTGGGCCTGCTGTGTGGAGTGGACTGTGAGTGAGCGTGGGGCATTCCTCTCCCTGGGCACAACCCCTCCTCACTCAAGTCCTCTATTGCCCCCAGGCCTTATAGCGCCCTGCGAGATTGCTTGGAGCAAAATGCGGAGGCGTTTGGCCTGGGCTTCCCTAATCCCTGGGCAGAGAGGATCATCTTTGAGACTCACCAGATCCACTTTGCCAACTGCTCTGTGGTGCAGCCCACCCTCTCTGACCCCCCGGAGGATGTGCTCCTGGCCATGATCATAGCCCCCATCTGCCTCATCCCCTTCCTCATCACTCTCGTGGTGTGGAGGAGTAAAGACAGTGAGGCCCAGGCCTAGGCGGGCACGAGCTTCTCAAGGGCCATCGGACTCCTCTTCCCTGCCCACCCACTGCCCTCCCTACCCCTTTCCTCACTCCCACTCACCCACCACAGATCCACCACAGATCCTGGTGGAAATGGAAACCAGGTGGGGTCATGGCACAAATTCTGTAATCTCCAAAATAAAACTTTTTTGTACACTGTCCCCCTCCCTATTTCAGTGGGGCCTGCGTCCTTCCCTGAGTGTCCTTGCCTCTCCCACAGGCCCTCAGCTCTGGGCAGTGGAGCTGGAAGAATCTGGATGGCCCTACTGTTGTGTTCATTTCACCTGCCCCCAGCTGCACCCCCATCCCATACTCCTTCCTTCCAGGCGGGGCCTTTCCTGTCCCTATCCAAACGCAGCTCCAGGAAACAAGCAGGAAGAGACTCCCTTCCGGTCTTGAAGGCAGGCAGCAGCTGGGGGCCCATGAGTGGGGAGGTGTGGGAGGAGGGGCAAGAGGAATCTCTGCTGAGACTCCTGCAAGAAGGGAGGGAGGCTGGCTACCTGTGAGCCCTGACTTTTCCCCTTCTTCCTGCCTCAGTTTACTCTCAGGGTGTGGGAAGGGGACCCCTGGCCTAAACAACAGTAATCCACACCTAAGGTCCTCACAATTGAAGGCAAAGGAAGTGGGAGCTTCCTGTACTATGTCCACCACTCCCCACTCCAGGTCCCTTGCCCTCATCCTACATTGTCCTGGACTGGGTGTGGCCTACAGCCTTGCTACACACTGCCCCCTGGTGTCTACTAAAGCCAACAACCAGAAGATATATGTGATCTGGAAGAAGCTCATGGTAGAGGAGCAGTGGATCTTGGGGTTGGAAAACTGTCATCTCCATAGCAACCACTAGTTCTTAGCTGGACCCTTCCATCAGTTTCCTGAGACATACAATACTACCTTAAGACACCTTCCCATTTTCTAGGGTCATACCTACCCCTCTCTACAACTCACCATTTCTGTATATGAGTACCCCTGTATGTTCTCTGGACAGTGAGATCCAGTTCTCACAGGGTAACCCCCACCTCCAGCCCTCCCTGGGACATACCTTCCAGGTTACCAAAAACATCTACAAAACAACTTTGTTCTCCACAGAGACATCTGCTTATTTCTTGTGGCACCCTGAGCCTCTTTAGGGACTGTCCTCCTTGTTGAAATTCCTTCCTCCCTGAGTACATGCCTGTCCATTTCCTGGGACATGTCTGTCTATTCCATACATATATGCCTGCATGCTCCTCGGAATGTGCCTATAAATTCTGTAAGACACATTTCTATTTTCAGGACACACCTGATTCTCTAGGGACAAACCTATTTCCTAAAAATATTTTGAATTTTCACCTGAGATAAGTCTTTGTTCTATTTTTATGAATGCATATGTCTTCCCAAAGGGTATATCTGTCCCTTTCTTGGCACATATTTGCCTTCATGCATTTGCTTAATATACATCAAGGGCCTGCTGGTATAAGACACTTGTATGTGGTATAATGTGTTGGAAAGATAAGTTAGATAGAGTCTGGTTTCTGCCCTCAATGGCTTTCATCCAGTGGGGAAGTTGACATGTGTACAAATGAATAAAAGCAATGGAGTGTGTGATGAGAAACATGCAAGGGATACAAACCAAATGTTATTCAAGAGCAAAGGAAGGTGGGATCACATCTGGCTGAGAGGGTCACAGAGGTGTGATCACAAGAGAGTGACTGCAGAGTGGGTACATGACTAGGCCTTAGGTGCAGTGCATTCTCCTAGGGGAAAGAGTAGAAAGGGAGATGAATTATGAAATTATTATAATAATCCAGGTTTTAGAACATGGAGCAAATGAGTTATGAATGGGGAAATGGAAAATGATTACAAGGCAGGGGTTATTATTAAAAACAGGTGAGAGAATCAGCAGGACTTGGATATGAGGGAGTGAGGAAGAGCAGAGGTTAGGGGTGACTCAGACTTTGAACCTGACTTACTAGGACAATGATGGCAGTAATAAGAAAAGGGCCATTAGGAAAAGGAACTGGACTGAAGAAAAGGATGTGCAATATGAGGTAACAATGAAATTAGCTATTATATTCCACAGAGAGTTAGAAATGGAGATGGTGGGAATGGAAAGAATTTGGATCTGGAAATATAGATTGGGAGTCTTCTGCACAGAAATTCAATATGAAGGAGGGATAAGAGCTCTAAGGGAGAAGGTGTGCTGAAAAGAAAATGGCTGATGTTGCACTCATAGGAAACACTCACATTTAAAGAATGAGGAAAAAGAAGAGACAGAGGGAAAGACCAGAGAGGTAGTAGCAGAACAAAAAAAGGAGTGCCATGGAGGCAAAGGAAATGGTGAGCCTTGAGAAAACATTATCAACTGAATGGTTCATTCATTCATTCATTCAACAAATATTTGTTGGTAAGTCTATGGACAAACTACGCACAATGAAGTATGGACTTGGGTGAAGGAAAGGTTGGAAATCAAACAGGAAATTAAGGTGGTAGGGTCAAGGGTTGTACATATTTTTAAATTAGGATGACACGAACATATGTGTAGCCTAGGTGAGAGGAGCTGGGGGGAAAGGAGAGAGGGAAGATAATAGAGAAGTCTCGGAGGGAGTTGGAAATGAGAGGCAAGAAAATATGGCAAAAACTTGGCCTTGTAAAGAAAAAGGGAGACTCTTTTGAGTCCAAAAGGAAGAAGTATTAAAAGTGAGGGGGAATTTTTGAGGGACGAATCAAGTATGGTGATGGACAGAGAGGGAAAGATTAAGGGGTTTGCATACATGGCCTCAGTCTCAGAAAACAGGAGGGAAAGGCATTCTTGTGAGCAGAGAGATGGGGATGGATGGAATGACTTGATGAACATCGAAAAGTTTGAATAGTTACCTTGAGGGTGCCAAGAAGTCAATAAATGACAAAGGGTCACTGGGCTGCCTGTGAGCCCAGCAGTGAGGTTAGTCAGGGAATCTGGGGCTCAGTAAATCTTGGGTGATTTTTCCCCCAGCAATATTCCATAGTCAAAGAGTGAAAAAAAAGAGTATTGGGGTAAGTAAGGGCATGGAGCAACAATCTTAGTTTGGGAACTGATTAGTAGATAGGCAGGCAAGGGAACGGAACTGAGTAGTCTAGGCTGGGTAAGGTGTCACATAAGACCAAAAGAATCCTGGGACTTGAGACTGGAATAGTGAGGACGTGGAGAGATGAGAGATAGATAGCTGTAGTCAAGGATGGAAGCTCTGAATCATGGAAGCAGAATCGTCTCTAGTGATACCAGCTACAAAGTGTGTTCCCACAGGTGCTGCAAGAACCTGAGGAATGGTGAACTCAAAGCACTTACGAATTGAGTCTGAGGAATTGTAAGGTGTTCAAATTAAATGGTAGTTGACACGAATGTCAAGATTAAAAGAAGCCTTGTATAGTGGAAACAAATGCAGGCTTAGGTCTAGAGACCTAGGTCCTATTTGCAGTTCTACTAACAAACTGAGCGGCTTTGGGGAAGCCACAGCCCTTCTCAGGGATCGAACCAGAAAACTTCCCAGGGCTCTTTCTGCTCTAAAAGGTAAAGCTTTTTAGGATAATGGCAAGGGATTAGCCGGTGACAATGACCTCCCGTTGGGCCGCCTTTCTCCGGAGACCCGTCCGGAACCTTTCTGCTGTGCTTTCTGCCCGGACATACCGAAAAGGAAACCGGAAGTCCTGTGCCGGGAGGTTCCGGGTTTCCTGGGCTACTACGATGGCGATGAGTTTCGAGTGGCCGTGGCAGTATCGCTTCCCGCCCTTCTTTACGTGAGGCTCAGACCCCGAGAAGCCCCGTTGTGCCTCCCACCCCTCCCTCTGGCCCGTGCTCAGCCCTGATGCTTCACATGGGGAGGGGGAGAAGGGGCCCGGCCGCCAACACCCTCAGTCCCTCACTTTCTCTCCCAAACGCGCCCCCCGGCAAGGGCTGTTTCTCGCCCCCTCACGCCCTCTAATTCTGCGCCCCACCCCCTTCACCCGGCAGGTTACAGCCGAACGTGGACACTCGGCAGAAGCAGCTGGCCGCCTGGTGCTCGCTGGTCCTGTCTTTCTGCCGCCTGCACAAACAGTCCAGCATGACGGTGATGGAAGCTCAGGAGAGCCCGCTCTTCAACAACGTCAAGCTACAGCGTATCCTCCCTCAGGCTCTTCCACAGCCCACACACATGCACTTCTACACTTTCCCACAAGCCCAGACTCCCTCCCCCACCCCTTTACCTACAGTAGGCAGGCTCCTACCAAAACCAGACTTGGGAAAGTATGAGAATGTGAGCTGATATCCATTTTAGCCTCCACATGCAGTACCAAACCCTCTTGCAGTGATGAGTGCCCAGGTGTCATACAGGTCTTAGACTCTGCCCTGAAGCCAAGCCCCAAGCTTTTCAATCTGAGCCCTTTTGACTATTTGAATCTCCTGTCCTCTTCTGGGTGAGGCTCCTTACTACCTTTAATCATATTCTCTACCCACCCCCCTCCTCCCAGGAAGTAAGGGTTTTTGCTGCCTGATTCATCTCTAAAATATCTATGGAGAAAGGCTGAAGGAAGGCAAGAGGACAGAGATTGAAGAATGGTAGTACCTTTTATTTTCTAATGCTCCTTTTCATTGGAAGAATTTCTCTTCCTGTCTTACTTATTTTTTTTTTTTTTTTTTTTTTTTTGAGACAGAGTCTCACTCTGTTGCCTGGGTAGAGTGCTGTGGCATCAGCCCAGCTAACAGCAACCTCAAACTCCTGGGCTCAAGCAATCCTCCTGCCTCAGCCTCCTGAGTAGCTGGGACTACAGGCATGCACCACCATACCTGGCTAATTTTTTCTATATATATTAGTTGGCCAATTAATTTCTTTCTATTTTTAGTAGAGACGAGGTCTCGCTCTTGCTCAGTCTGGTTTTGAACTCTTGACCTCGAGCAATCCACCCGCCTCAGCCTCCCAGAGTGCTAGGATTACAGGCATGAGCTACCTCGCCCGGCCACTCTCTTTTTTAAAAGAGATGTGGTCTCACTGTGTCGTTCAGGCTGGATTACAGTGGCACAATCATAGCTCACAGTAACCGCCAACTCCTGGGCTCAAGCAATCCTCCTGCCTCAGCCTCCCAAGTAGCTGGGACTACAGGTGCCCACCACCATCCCTGGCTAATTTCTCTATTTTTTTTTTTTTTTTGGTAGAGTCAGAATCTGTCTGTTTTGCTCAGGCTGATTTTAACTCCTAGCCTCAAGTGATCCTCCTGCTTTAGCTTCCCATAATGCAGAGATTAAAAACATGAACCACCATACCTAGCTAGAAGTTTTTCTCTTTACCTTCTCTGGAATATTTAGGAAATGCGGGATTTAGGGAAATTGCATGCATATGTGTGTGGGACAGGATAAGGGCAGATGGTTCTCAGCATGGGACTGGCTCTGAGAATTTTCATCCCACCCAATTCACTTGTATGCTATTCCCTTAACTTTTATCCAGGGAAGCTTCCTGTGGAATCAATCCAGATTGTATTAGAGGAACTGAGGAAGAAAGGTGGGTTCGTTTCAAATTCCTTATTTTTCTTCCTAGTTGGGTTTTTCCTAGGACAAATATGACAAGTTTTTCCCCCTTTCATAACTTTTTTCTTTGTTCTGGCTTGAAGCCCAGAGTGTTCTATACAGTAGCCAGCCCCAAGTCTGGGTTCTCTCTCCTTATTTATACAAAAAATTGAAATCTCTCTCTCTCTGTGCCCTATGTCTGAAAAGAGGTGGGGGAAGAAGAATGGGTGCTTTACAGATAGTAATGGTAAAATAAATATTGAATCTCTCTCTCTGGAAGTTGAGTCTCTTCCACTCTGTCCCACCTTGGTTTTTGGCTTTTGTCCCTTTTTAGATCATGATGCTTTCCTAAGTATCTTTTTTACAGGGAACCTCGAGTGGTTGGATAAGAACAAGTCTAGCTTCCTGATCATGTGGCGGAGGCCAGAAGAATGGGGGAAACTCATCTATCAATGGGTGAGACAATTCTGCTGCCAAGTACTCAGCAATGACCCATGGCAAAGGCAAATTGTATTGGTCCCCAGCAGATACCTGGTGTTCCTAGATCCAGACTGAGCAAAGTGGAGAGGGGGCAAAAAGAGGAAGTACACCCTCCAGGCAAACCTCTTTTAGTGACTCAATTTCTTTGGCTACACAGAACCTCCCTTTCTTTGCCTGTAGGAGGCCAGAGGCTATGTGAGGCTGTGTTTGGAGAATGCAATACTGGGAACCATGAGTGCTATGGTTGGCTGGAACCTCTGGCCACAGGAGATAAATGGGGAAAGGAAGGGGAAAAAACATGGGGCTCCTCCCCCACTGCACTATTATGGGGCTATCCACAGTATGAATGAGCCATTCTGAACCAGTGTGGATATAGGGACAGAATACTCTCTTCCCCAAATTCCTAGCCACCACTAGCCCCAAACATTCCCAAGGAAGAAAGGGGAAGAAGCGTCAACAACCTAAATATAACAAACACACACCACCCATTCTTAAATAGGAAAACAACCAGAATGAGAGGTCACTCCTCAGACACGTGAAGGCCTGTGGTTTAGTGGTTCCAAATATGTGTGTACACATATAAATATAGCGCCTGTAGGGTTTATGGTTTTTAGGTCACTATGCAGAGGTGACAATGAGTGCTGGTTTGGGAGTAGTTACCATTCCTGGATCAGAGATGTGGAGCTAGTGGGTTTCCGTTCTCCCAAGAGATTCTTGATCTAACTCAATCTTCATTTTCTATGTCTACAGGTTTCCAGAAGTGGCCAGAATAACTCTGTGTTCACTCTGTATGAACTGACCAATGGGGAAGACACAGAAAATGAGGGTAATGCCTACCCCCTCCCCAGCTTTGTCATCTGAATTCTCCTCCTTCCAGTCCAGTCCTGGTTTAATTAATATTTAGACTTCCCATTTCTCTGCCTCTGAACTCCAAGTACTACATAATACAAAAGTTCTTTACCCACGTCCAAAGATTCATTAAACCACCTTAATTCACATGCAGAACCCCCCCCACACACACATTTTGTTTGTATGGGTGTATGTGCATTTTTCTAGGGATAAGTCCACATTACAAGATGTTCAAGGGTACCTGTGACCCACGAAAAGTTCAGAATTACTTCTGTAGATGCCGAAAGAGGAACCAGGGCGGGAGATTAAGCCTGAAATCTCATTCATTGCTGACTCAGGCTCTCTTTCACCTTTTATTCTTGTAGAGGGCTCAAGATTTATGAGTGTCAGCTGAAGGGATTGGGCCAACACCCCCATCCCCACCCCCAGTCCATTTAAATAGTTTCTGGTCAGGCAAGGATTTGTATAGTGTTTGATTTTTACATAGTGTAAACACTTTCTTAACTCTTTTCTCTCTGACTCCATTTTCTGATCCCCAGGATCATGAAAAGTTCCAATCTTAGCTAGAATGACAGGGTGCCTTCCCTTTCTGTTAGTCTCTGGCTGCCCTAGCAGAGTTTATAGCTCTTGGCTGTTCCTCCCCACCCCCCTCACTGCCCTGCAGGTCCCTGCTTGCTACTCCCACCATCACCCCATGACTTCAGCGCTGCAGCCTTGCCCAGTCCACCACTCAGGCTGGGCAAAGTTGGAGGCTTCCTCAGAAAGCAAGCTCCTTGACTTGAGCTGGGCCTCTGCAGGGGGTGAGGTGAGCAAGCCTGTCAGGGCTTGCCTGCTGCCTTTTACCTCTTCTCATGGTATCTTACCATATCCGCATACTCAGCTGGCCATTGGCTCTCAGCTGTTATCTAGGAAAGGGCAAATATAGTTGCTGGACTTCAGTAGTCTCCTGGCCAGGGGTACTGGCTATACTTCTTTGTGTTAGGACAAGTCCTCCTCATCTGTACAGATGTGCAACCAGGGTCACTGTCCAGTGACAAAGGTCCTGACCTCTCTAGGCCTGATTGTCAGGGCCCCTTTGTTGTGGCCAGTAAGCAGATGGTGGCATTCTTAAGCATTGGACAGTAATGGGGGCAGAAGTGGGAGGAGGTTGACTTTGACAGGACAACCAGGGAAGGGGAAATAAGCATGAACTCATTTCATGCTGACTGAGGCTTTCTTCTACCCCTTACTCCTAAGGAGTGCCCAGGAAGTATGGGTGATAGCTGCAGCGGTATAGATGGCACATGCATATTCTGCCTCTGGGAAGGTCTCAGCTTCCAGCTAGACTGCCCTCAGAGGCCTTGGGCCCCAAAGAGCTGAGTGACCCTAACTGCCCATCTCTCCTGTCCAGAGTTCCATGGGCTGGATGAGGCAACTCTACTGCGGGCTCTGCAGGCCTTACAGCAGGAGCACAAGGCTGAGATCATCACTGTCAGCGATGGCCGAGGTGTCAAGTTCTTCTAGCAGAGACCTATATCCCTTCTTAACCTTCACCTTTCCAGGGCTTTCAAAAGGAGGCAGATCCAGTGTTCCCACAGACTAGATCTGTGATTCCACTAGACTCAAAAGGGCTCCAGTCCTGAAGGCTGGGACCCTGGGATGGGTTTCTCACACCTCATATGTCTGTCCCTGGGATAGAGTGAGGCCAAGGCGCCAGAGAGAAAAAATGTGTTTCTTCTTGCCCTACCTCCTCTCCCATCCTAGACTGTCCCTGAGCCAGGGTCTGTAAACCTAACACTTTACATGTGTTCACACATGTAAGTACATACACACATGCACCTGCACAGCTTCTGCCTCCTCTCCCTGCCACCCCCTTAGCTGCTGTTGCCTCCCTTCTCAGGCTGGTGCTGGATCCTTCCTAGGGGATGGGGGAAGCCCTGGCTGCAGGCAGCCTTCCAGGCAATATGAAGATAGGAGGCTCATGGGCCTTGCAGTGAGAGGCGGAGCCCAACGATGATTTATGATATTAAAAATCTCAACTCCCACTGCCTGCCTGTTAAATTACTACAGTACTGGAATGGGGTTGGGGCTGGCAGTGAAGTGTTACCACCGGAGTGAATCCCTGCCAAGGAGAGGGGAGACAAAGCCTATGTCTTTTGTGAAGGTAAAGGTCCTCCAGGGCTGACTGAGCTACAGCGAGCCTGTGGTTTTACATCTGGTGGGTGGGCTGTGTGGAGTGCTGATGGGACACAGCTTGGGGACAGACTGCTTTCTCTCTGAATAGGAGTTACTTAATAGCTCCCCCTTCCCTGGCCATCTCCAACCATGAAAGTCCTGAACTACTCTGAAGCCCCTCCCTCCACCCTTCTGGTCTGGGTGGGGTAGTTGTGGCTAAGGCCAGCTGAGGGGGGGGTAAGCCGGATGTGGACTTTGGTTTATTGGAGACTTTGGCAAACAGAAGGGGAGGAAGGAGAACCCACATAGCAAAAACAGCCACTCTGGCCAGGGCCAGGCTGTGGCCAAGGTGGGGTGGAGGGGATGGGTGACCAGGCTTTTGGTTTGAGGGAGGGACTTGTCTTGGAGAGCTCACACCCATCCCTATGCAGACCAGAGGGTCGACAGCGGCAGACCTTTCCACTGACCTCCGTTTGGCCTGGGGCTACTCCGGAGGATTAAGAGGGGGTGGTGCTGCCTTATCTGGGGTGTGCAGGCGGGTGGTAGCCTCCCCCCATCTCCCCCACCCCATCCCCCACATTAGGGCCCGAGAACCGAGGGCACGTTTCTTCTCCCGTCCCAGTGTCATTCCTTCCCTCTCACCCCCGCGCAAACAGCTTTGCGCACTCTTAGTGCGGGAGGACACACCTCGGCCTCGCACTCAGGTCTGGCCTCGGCTTGAGGCCGGAGGCGGGTGCCTGGGAGGTTCGGGAGAGGAGTGGGAGCGGCCGGGGGCGGGGCAGCGGCTGAGTTTAGGTCTGCGGCGGGGATCCAGGAGGCGCCTCACTGCTCGAAGGAGGCGGCCCTGGGGGGTAAGGGCGGGCCGCGAGGCGGGGCCGGGGCGGGGCTGCGGGCGGGCGAGCCGGGGGCTGGGGCCCCAGCCGCTCAGCCGGATCGCTGCGCACCCAGCCAGTCCGCCTGTCAGGCCGCCTCCTCTAAGGCCGTCTGGCTTTTCGCCCTGCGGCGCCTGGCCCTTCCCCATGTTGGCGCCCTCAGCCACGGAGACTGCAGTCCCTATGTCCCAGACCGAGGCCGACCTGGCCCTGCGATCCCCGCCGCCTCTTGCCACCGCGGGGCCGCCTCGCCTCGGGCCCCCTCCTCGCCGAGCGCGCCGCTTCTCCGGGAAGACTGAGCCCCGGCCGCGCTCATCTCGACCCAGCCGCCGCAGCTCAGTCGACTTGGGGCTGCTGAGCTCTTGGTCCCAGCCAGCCTCACCCGCTCCGGAACCCCCTGATCCTCCGGATTCCGTTGATCCTAGCCCTGCAATGAGCCCACCGCCTAGCGCTGAAGAGCCTCCCGAGGGCACGTGGACCAAGGGAGCCCCTGGGAAGTCTCCAAACTCCCCGGGTTCCGAGCTCACAGGCTCCGCAGGAAGCTCAGGGTCTGGGGAGCCCCCGAGGGTCTCAGAAGCCACGGCCCGAGAGCGGCGGCGGGAGCAGGAAGAAAAGGAGGACATGGAGACTCAGGCTGTGGCAACGTCCCCAGACGGCCGATACCTCAAGTTTGACATCGAGATTGGACGTGGCTCCTTTAAGACGGTGTATCGAGGGCTAGATACGGACACCACGGTGGAGGTGGCCTGGTGTGAGCTGCAGGTGCGGCTGGGTGCTCCCTCGGTGGCACTTTGGGATGGGACTCTGGAGGTCTTAATATGGGAGACAGGGTCAGGGAGCAGCATCAAGGGAAGGATGTATTTTCCAGTTAAATGTCCAAACACCCTGCTGTCTTTGCCCTGATGACCTGTCTGACCCTGGGATGCAGTAGGAGAAACTTAGGCAAGTGGTGTATGATGGCTCCCCCATGGGCATGAACATTTTTAAAGTCTCCATACTCAGCCTTGAGAGGTGAAAAATAGGACGAGAAGTTGGGGTGGGGAGCCAGCTCAGATCTGGGGGGGCTGGCTCCACCAGTTGCCTGCTGGTGGGTATCCACTATCTCTTCCTCTCCCTTTCCCCTAAGTCCTGAGACGCCACCTCAGTTATGACCCTGGTCCTCTTGCTCCCACCCCCTCCCCACCTCTTTGCAGACCAGGAGGCTGGGATTCGGAAGCCCAGGAGTTGGGCCAGAGTCCTTTTCACCACTGGAAGATTTAGGGCAGTTGTGGCAGAAGAAGGCCCTCCAGGTTCCTTCTGGAGCAGCCAGACTTCTGGACTTCACAGCTGCGGAGAGGGGAGGACGGGAAGCTCCAGCCGGTGCCTGAGTCCAGTCCTGCTTCCCATCCCACTGTCTACCTGGGCTGTCCTTTCTCAGACCCAAAGACACTGAGACCCAAACCTGTTGGTTTGCAGGACCTTCCTCCCATTTCTTCCACTGGGAGAACCCAGTCAAATCTGCGCCCAAAGCTCCAGATGCAGATTGGGGGACAGAGCCTAGGAGAAGGGACCCTCCGCTCTGGCCTTGGCATAGGGCTTGCCCCTTGCGCCTGCCAGTGCCGCGCCCAGGCTCTAGGCCAGACGAGGAGCGGCAGCCAAATTGAGGGGTGAGGGGAGGGAGAGAAGACAGGGCGGGACAGCCATGGGGAGGGGGCGGACTCCTGGCGCCTAGACCTGGATCTTTTCTTTCTCTGTACGTCCCTCCGCAGCTCTTCCGCCTTCGGTCTGGATCTAGCAGTTCCCAGTTCCTGGGGACTGGAACCCCCTTGCCAGCCCCAATTCTCTGCCCGCGGTCTCCCGCTACCCGCCTGCTGCCTGCCCGCTGCCAGCCCCCGGGCGCCCCCTCCCGCCCCATGGCCGGCCCTGACGGCCACAAAGACGCTATTGAGCCCAGGGCTCCTGGACCAGGCTGCATAAAGGGCAGCTGTGTCCAGCAGGGGGTCTAGGGGGCCGCCCCAGGCCCTGGATAGGTGTGTACTTGGAGCAGCCTGAGGGGACTGATGGGGAGTTCGGGGTATGCAGCCCATTGGGCAAGTGATCCCACCAACCTGACCCCCTCCCTGGGCTCCAAACCTCACCTCTTCTCCCAGCCACACTCGAGGTGGCTCCTCCCCGTGGGGGTCCTGAGCCTGATGTTACCCCATCCCCCATCCCACAGACTCGGAAACTGTCTCGAGCAGAGCGGCAGCGCTTCTCGGAGGAGGTGGAGATGCTCAAGGGCCTGCAGCACCCCAATATCGTGCGCTTCTACGACTCGTGGAAGTCGGTGCTGCGGGGCCAGGTTTGCATCGTGCTGGTCACCGAACTGATGACCTCGGGCACGCTCAAGACGTGAGCTCTGCGCGTTGGGCGGAGGGAGGGCTGGGATGTGTAACCCTGCTTCCTGAATTTCTCCCAGGCCTCTCAAACTCTCTACATACAGGTCTAAAACCAGGTTCACCATCTCCCACACACTCGACCTGTGCCCCGGCCTCAGGGAATGGCAATGTCCACCCAGCACTCCAATCAAAAACTTAGGGCTGTCTTCCCAGAGTCTTCGTCTCTCTCTCTCTCTCTCTCTCTCTCTCTCTCTCTCTCCACTCTGCCCCCCCATCAGTCTCCAAGGCCCTCCTTAACATCTTTCACTGTGCTATCCGTGCCCCCACTGCCATGTCACCTCACTAGTCTGGAGGCATGCAGCAGCCTCCTAAAAGACCTTCTCCTACTCTGCCACCCTCTAAGAGAGCCTATCTTCCCCCAACCTGGAGGATCTTTCTCAATCGAAAATCTGAATCGTCACTCCCCTACTTAAAACTCCTTCCAGGGTTCTCACGGGCCTCGGGATAAAGTCCACACTGGCTAACCTGCTCACAAAGTCCTTAGGATCCAGCCTCATCTTCACCCTAAGTTACAGACAAACCAAATTTCCAGCTCCCAGCTCCTCCTTGCACCCTGCCCTGCCACTTGCTGTCTCCGTGCCTCTGAGCAAGGTGTCCCGTCTGCCTGGAAAGTCTCCATCCCTTCCCCTTTTCACCCTTGAACTCCTACTCATCCTTCAAGACGCAACACAAAAGTTATTTCCTCTGTGAAGCCCTCCCCCACGCTCGGGCAGTTAGTCATCCCTTCCGGTGCTCCCACAGCACCTTGGCTGCGGCCCTATCTGTGAATTTACCTCCCGACCCGTTTCGTAATGTCTTTTCTATCTACTACATCCGCCGACTCAGTTTCTCCCTGGGGCTCGGCGCCAACCTAGACTAGGAGATTGCTGGCAGCGGCTTGGGTGGGGCGGTGCGGGGGAGAACTTCCTACTGGGGGTCCTCCCCGCCCCCTCCCCCGGGCGTATCTCCCCCCACCACCCTGGCTATGCGCCCTCCCCTAGGTACCTGAGGCGGTTCCGGGAGATGAAGCCGCGAGTCCTTCAGCGCTGGAGCCGCCAAATCCTGCGGGGGCTTCATTTCCTACATTCCCGGGTACCCCCCATCTTGCATCGGGATCTCAAGTGTGACAACGTCTTTATCACTGGCCCTACGGGCTCAGTCAAGATCGGGGATCTGGGCCTGGCCACTCTCAAGCGCGCCTCCTTTGCCAAGAGTGTCATTGGTGCGTTCCTCCAGGAAGGTCCTTGCAATCCCTTCCTCCACTACCTCAGAAAAGAACTGGGGACCCTTCTCCCCCCTCCCCCCCACCCCACCCCCCGTCCCAGCAGGACCCTTTGAGGTCCCTGCAACTATGAGATCACAGGGAAGGTGGGGAGACCTATGGTATAGATCCCCTCACCCATATACACACCGTGGGCAAGGGTCGGTCACTTGTATTAATACTTTAGAACTGCAGGGCTGTCCCGGTATAGCCCAAGTGGAAGGACGAGGCAAGAGTGCTCAGCAGCCTGATTCCTGCTGTGGATCCTACAGGGACCCCGGAATTCATGGCCCCCGAAATGTACGAGGAAAAGTATGATGAGGCCGTGGACGTATACGCCT